ACATCGTTGGTGGGTATACTTGTGTTTCTTGTAGGCACTTTCTTTGCTGGATTTTTTTTTTTTTGCAAGTGTAATGAAACTGGTTTCTGTATTCTCCAAAAATTGAATTATATTGGACTTTGTCTATATGTGTGCATACTGGTGTCTATAGTTTTATTAAAATATGAAAATATAGGAAGATAAAAAAATACAAAATATTTTGTTTGGATGGCTACTTATTTACAGCACTCTTAACAGATCCCATCACCAAACACACAGTTACTTTGTTCTTTTCTTCCTTTTCCAAATTTTTTATTTGTACTTATCAAACTATTATATCTGAAGTAACTTTAATTGATAATGGTACTACTAGACAGCAATATTTTTGAAGGTGCAAAACAGAAGGAAAAAAAAAGGCATAAATAAAAGCTTTGCAGATTTCTGCCATGTATTGAGAGACAAAAATAAATAAGAATTGGGCATCAAGATATGTAGCATGACTTTCTACCTTAAGTAGGGTTATTTAAATGTATCAGTATAATTACTGCTGACCTCTAGCATGATTTTGCTGAGATAAACAATAACTTTCATTGTTAAACATCTCATTTTAGGGATGGTTTACTGAAGTAAAAAATTATTTTTAAGGTCACAACAAGTTCAGTTCACATCAAAATGCTTCATAACTTAGTAGGCATACTACCATGGAATTGGTATGAAGCTAAATAAATAGGTCACTTATATGTTATAATGAGAAATTGAACTGAAAAGCAACTAATTTAGGAGATTGCCTACACACAAACAACAAATGACTTGAAACCAAATTCAGATAAATTAGTGAGATGCTTTCTGGAAATACACAGTAATGAGTAATGCCTAAAACACAGCAAGCACATTGTAGGTGTGACTTAAAAACAATCTGCGAAAGCAGAAAGGGCCTGTGGGAGGGAGAGTTGCTTTGTGTGTATTATCTAAGAGAATGCTCCACAGACTTTTTTAGTTTTTCTTATTTGCTTCTATAAATACGTGTTTGAAGTTGAGTAGGAGGGCATTAAGCAATCACAATATACACATTGTCGGAAGGAGTGTTTTTGGGCAACTGTAGTATTATAACCAGATTTACAGCTTCTGGTCTTAGTTTCAGTTGCTGCTGACTTGGGCAAGTCCCTTAACTTTTCTGTTTTTCACTCTATTCATCTGTAAAATGGAGGGAGGAGGAAGGATCTTCCACAAAAGCTTTGTTTCTTTTTGCTTTTGCTGTATCCTAACCCATCTTTGTTTAAAAACTGCTTAAGTCTTTTTTGTATTTAGAAATCACCCATGAATTCCTTGTATACAGCACTTCCCTAGATACCTTTTGAGGCCGTGGTTGAGACATGCCAAATTTTAATGGTGGCAGTTGACCATGTTTTGTCATAGCAGGGTAATTTATCTACTGAAGTAGAGTTCATTGTGGTAATATTATAACAAAAACTGTAGCAAAAATTCACCAGTATAAACAAGGGCCAGGCAGTCTCTTTGGGGATATTTTAGGCTTAAGGTAGGAACTGTATTTTAAGTTTGTAGGAAATAGTGGTTGATAACCCCTTTAGCATTTATATTCCAGGTAAAAGATACAGTAAGACACAGAACCAACTTTTCCTCAGTTTCATAATACCCAAAGAATAACATATCTGAACAGCTTTCTTCTCCTGAGGTGTGATGTTTTATTATGTGGAAACAAAAAACCAAAAGCCGCACTTTACTGCTGTTCTTTTTCTTTTAAGCGGGTCCAAAAATAATAAATACAGATTGTCTTAGTGGCTTTTTTCACGATTTTCAGGTTGCCATGCAGGCATTACTTTCATGATCCGCCTCCACCCCAGCATTTACAGAAATAAAAGTTACTCCTAAACCTAAAGTTGGTGACATGCCATAAACTATCTACTGGATGAAAAGCAGGTTTACATGACTTAGAAGCCTTTTTTGTCCACCTCTTTGACCCAAATCCCATAGGATGATGTCCCTCTTCTAGAGCAGTGACACCCCTCTGCTTCATGTTGTCCTGTACAACCGCTTCCTGCCCAATACCAGCAGGCAGCCTCATTAAAAAAAAAATGTGTGACTTAACAGGGAGGAGAGAAAGACAGGGAAAAACTGACTAATGACTCTGATGCTGTGAACTCTTTTGCACTTTCAGAGTGAAATTGATACATGCATCAAGACATTCATACTTCAGGTTTGGAAACCTGAAGGTAGAAAAAGCCCCCCAAACCAGTTGATTTTTTTTCCTCCGTGTGAAAGCGATTTCAATCAGTTTTTCTTAGAAACCTTTTGCTGAAATAAAACGCAGAACTATCAGATATCCAAGGTGAAATTCTATCCCAACTTAGATCAAGAGGGGGAGGAGGGAGGGTGTCACAGGCATCTATAATGTAATTGCCGATATATGCTGCCACAAACAAGCTATAATAATCTTTCATGACCCTTTAGAGGAGGCTGTCTGGTGTAGAAGACTGTGATTCAGATAAAAAAATATACACTGATCTATGGTAATAATTCTGTAGATAGCTTAAGTACGAAAGTCCATCACTACAAAAGGGTCCTCTGGTAATATATGAATCATGATTCCCCCCCTTATTTGGGATAATTTGGAAATAAAGAGCTTACCATATGGCGTGGAAGTTTTTATATATTTGTGTGGTATACATTTGACATGCTTGCCTAAAGCTAACAAGTCATTTGCCTTTCAGCCATCCCAGTTTGAACAGTGCATTATCCACTCCTTGCAGTCTCTTAAAACTGTGCTGGACTGCAAACCTGGAGAGGCTAGCGTAAGTTTTGATTCATGCTTTTATTTTTGTTCTTTTTATGTAAATTACTATTGGGTTTCAGAACAAGAACTTTCAGAGAATGATACAGGGATATAACTTTCCTCTTTATTTTTTTTTCCACGTAAACCCTTTTCACTGGTGCTAGCTTTTAGAATTTTGTTTGTGTTTCCTTTTTTCCTTTGGCGTAATTGTGTGTGTATGGGGCAGATTGGACCTATATTTAAATCTTCAAAGCATTTCTTTTGAAAAAATTTTGCTAACGTAATTTTCAGATCGCAGTAGATGTGACTTTATTTACATGAGGAAAAAAAAGGGGGGGAGGCATTCCTAGGAGTTACTCTTCACTCGCTGTTGCATCCAAACTACTTGCAGAACTTGAATTCAGCTTTTTACTTCTGTAACCTTTATTCTAAATCAGGAGTCATGATTGTCCCGATCCACTTAGTACCTTGAGGCCCTGATTGATTGTGATACTGATGCTTAATGAACATTATTCAAAATAATCTGCAGTGCATGGTGAATCCTTCTTGTTAGGGTGCAAAGATCTTTGAATATCCGGGAAGCTTTTGCTGCAATTCCATTAGCCAACAATGATACGTATCACGTGTACTAGGTACTAGGACTTCTTTCCTTTTAGTGTTATTTCTTCGTGCTTGTCAGACTGTTTACTGGGACTTGTATTCTCTCTCCCCATTTTAGGGTGGGGAAAAACTGAAATTGATCCATGAGAAAACACTGTATTCCAGCAGCCATTCCTATAATTATGTCATCTCTTTAGGGATAGGTTACTCAGGCCTTCCTTGAGAATAAGGCCATGTGAAGCTGTTCTGCTGAAATTATATGCTTGCATCTTCAGGTTTTCCAGCAGCAGAAAACACAGGAGGATGTGTGCCAGCTAAGCATTGGGATCATGCAGGTAACTCGAGCACTTTTAAGTATGAAAATGTGAACACAAGTGATCAACAAAAATGTGTGCTTTGTACCCTGCCCAACTCCCAAAAGGTACCTTAAGTTGATGACTGTGTTATTCCTCTGATACACTCTGGGATACTGAGAAATGTTTGACTTTAAAAGTATGCAGAGCTAGCTAGCTGAATCTGATGATATCAAATCCTCAGAGGGTAAGTGACATATTCAAGTATTTTACTGATTGTGACTGTTCAAGATTTTACTGATGATTGAGAGACACTTGCTGAGCTGATGTCATCTAACATCGATATACTGCAGTAAAAGGAGCAATGCTGATTTTCATCAGCTGAAGATATAGCTTTTAATTTTTGTATCAGAAACCAATATTCTTTGTAACAAAACCTGATTTTTTTAAAAATATATTTGAAATTAGATAATAACATGCTTTAGGCTTTTGAACCATAGTCTTCTCAAATAAGAAACCATGAGCCAAAGCAAAACATGGATTTTAGTGATGCTTCTGTTTACTTGGGATCAACTGTTTAGATTGAACACTTGAAAACTATTAACAATGCCTTCTTTGCAAATCAGCAGATTATCACTGTGTAATTTTAGCCATGCATGATGAGAATCACTTCGCAGGATTAAAAACTCCTGTGTTTTGCTACAAGTAAACTGTGATGCATATACAATTGAAAATATGCATTCAAAAGGTGTAACTAAAATGTTACTGTATTTATGTACGGTTTAAGACAAAGAAAGGTGATGATGATTGTTCTGCTTCTATTGACTGTAGTAAAAGTGAATTTAAGATTTTTTTTTTAGTTCTGGCAGAAAATGTAGATGTTGCTTTATTGTTTCCTAGGTCTTTATAGACTGTTTGGAACAACTGAGCACCAAACCTGATGGTGACATAGATACAGCACAGTAAGTAAAATAAATAGGACCTAAGTGTAGTATTCTGAAATTGTGGGTGCGAGTCTCAAATTTCAGTGGTGGTGTGGTTTTATTCATATTTCTTGTGAATACTTTTGCCTCTGGTTAGTGACGCTTTGAAATAAGAGCAGATACTTTTTATGCCAAACAATTGAGTGACATCATGTAATAAATATTGTACAAGGTAATGAATATGGTATTACTTATACCATTTTATTCAATGACAGGAGTTGTGTGCTATAGAGGCAGGTATGTTGTTTTTGACATGACCTTCCATGGAATGAGTTGTCCTTGTCACTAAGTAATGTCTAGTCATGGAGAAGCAGCCACTGCCTTTCTTTTCTTCCCTTATATTTTGACTGGTTCTATTTGGTATTTCTGCTAAATTCTTGAAAGTTTGTTCAATAATTGCTCATGAGCCACTTGTTTTAGAGACCAAAACAAGTCAGAATAGCCTGAGTTTTCAAGAGTACCAATCATTTCTTTGTGAAAAGCCAGAAACTTGGCAAATACTGGTACCTGCAATATGCATTAGAAAAAGGCAAATTAACTGTGTTCCTAATGCCACTTTTTTTGCTATTTGGATGACTCTCTTGGCTGGATAGGCATAAAACCAAAACGGAATCTGTGACAAACCAGAGAAATTACAGAAAATAAAAATGCTTTAAGATGGAAAGGTAGCTAGAATAGTACTGTCTGTCCACAAAGCTCCTGTGGGCTTTGTGTACATCTTAGAAAAACTGAGCAACGTGGACTGCTTTATCATCTGGTGTGAGGGGGCTTGAAACAAGATTCCAGTCTTCTGTTCCAACTGTTCATTTGATCCACCATGTATCAGATAATCAAAAGCACTATACTACTCACTTAAACAATATTCCTAGTCTTTCAGTTGATGTTTCATCTCCAGATTTGTTTGGAAGCATTCATGAAGACTCAAGTCTTTCTTCAGTAAGTTTGGCTTCTGTTTCTAAAAGCTGATGTGAAACTTAATATTTCTCAAAGTTACAGGAATGTGGTCCTTTTTTATTAAGTGTTTCAGTTTTTTGTTTTCCTTTTTTAGAGAGCAATTCTGTATTCTAGAGGCATTTCCTAGATATATATGTAGATAAGCGTAAGAAAAGACAAGGATATAAGGCTTGAATATGAGGCTTTTTTTAAAAGCAGTTTGTTTATATCTTAGTATACCATCTTAAGGTAACTAATGAAGACGTTTTTTGAAACCAGGTACTCCTCAGAAACTAAAATGGCATCATTGAAATTAGTGAAAATAGCACTGGTGTTAAGACAGTTGAGGATTTGACTTTTGATTTATCACCCTGTTTTAAATCATAAGAACTGGTCTGATTATTAGTTACTTTTAAAACCCAGGAAGATACAGATACTCAGTAATGTAGTTTTTCCCCAAAAAATTCCTGAGAGTAAGTATTGATTATTTGTTTGGCTGGTTTTGTTTTTTAGGAAATTGGAAAAAAGGTTTTTAATATTCTTCACACTTTGACTTTGCTTGATGTACTTTCTTCTAGTCCGTTGGATGATGAAAAAATGTAGTTGTTCCCTGCAAGAAACCCAGTGAGAACCTCTTGTGAAGTTAATACTCCTTAGTACAGGTTTTTAATGTTGTCAGAAGCCCAGCTTTGCCTCATTTACAAGAGCAATAGGCATTCCTGCTACAATAATTAATCACAGATTGCCAAATCAGGCCAAGTTTCTGAATTGCAGACTATAAAAATTAGTTCTCTATGTCACTTTATTCTTGCAACACATAGATTTTTATATTAATTGTTGACAAAGTAACTTTTTGTGGCTGTGACTTCCTCCCAAATGTCATAGATACGAATGTTTAAATAAAAAAGAAGAAATCCACAATTTTAGACAATGTTTGGCTTCCATGGTATCATATTAATTGTTTTCTGTAAATCACAGAACACTATCTTCACTTTCCTGATTGAGTAATGAGAACAGAGAAAGTGAGTGAGCAGAGTAAGATTTGTCCGTGTATTTTTAAAATTCTCATTTTTTGAATAGTCTGTGTACCAACTGATTATAAATTAAAGTAGTAGGCAACTGCATATCTCAATACTAGTCATCATATTACTGGAACACAAAACTGTCAGGAGTTCTTCTGGGTCTGAAAACCAACACCATTTTTAATCAGATCTGCACTATTATGATGACTTCGTTGCCAAATAATTTTGTTTTCAAAATATTTGCTGGTGTTGATTTTGAACTTCCATCTGAGGTAGAAAAATGTTTTCCCATTGGGAGAAGGAGAGGGGAAAAGGGACCAAATCTGTTTAAATAGTAGTTCTGTCTTGTTTGGTTCTTTGTCTCTTTGGAAACTACACCTCGTTGCACCAAAGTCAGGGAAAGGCAATTCTGGTATCTCAACTCCAGAATGTATTTGACCTTCTTGTAATTAAAAAAAATCATTGAAGAACAGAGATAAGTTATAACTACCTAGAATTTTTTCAAATGAACTGCTGAAATTATATTACGTACTTCTGAACCTTGTAGTATTTTAGAATGGGTGAGTGCATTTGTTCAGTACCTGTTTTGCTTCCCTTGTTTTAGCCAGCTTCATGTGAAAGTGAAGATGATCTTCAGTTAATTTTATGATGGTCATAATTCTTTGCATATTTCTTGAAACAAAGTAAAAGCCAGAAACAGCTTCCTGGAAAGCTGTCCAAACCTAATTTTTGTAAAGAAGTCTTAACCACGATTCTGTATTAGTCACAGCTATTCCAGTGAATGCTCCAGATCCTATAAGAAAAAGCATACGTGTTCAATCATCATACCTGATATTCACTCAGTTCTTGGTGTTTTATTGACAAAAATATTTGTAAACTCCGCTTTATTTATCAGCATGTTTATTACACGCACAGAGTCAATAAAATACTATACATTTACATTATTGGTCATGCTGATATTTCTTTATTCTAACTGTTATACTCTTTCTTCTCTTAAAACAAATTTTTAGGAACAGAGGCTTTTAATTGCACTCAGTAACTGCCGTTATCTGGAACGTCATACCTTCCTAAATATAGCTGAACATTTTGAGAAACATGGCTTTCAAGGTGTTGAAAAAATAACTCAAGTAAGTGAGAGCACTGGAATGAAGTATCATTGCTTAAAGGAAACAGTTTTTACTTGTTTTACATTCTGTGGAAATTAAGTGGAAGTGTTCAAATGGCCAAAAGGATTCTTGGGTGAGCCTTCTGCAAATGAGTGGGACGCCAAGCATCAGTTGGACACAACAACAATGATATGGTTGTATGTGTTCCTATAATGCTTAAATAGCTGGTGTAAAAAATGTGACCTCTTTTTTATTCAGGACTTGTGTGTTCAATGGCAAAGCTTATCAGATTTCTTAGGAAAGCTGTTTAATGTCACTGTGTTTTCTTAATGCAGAGAATGAAAGATCGTTATCTCAGAAAGATACTTGATAAATTATTTCATCTGGCAATCTGCGTTACTGATAGCTGTTGTTCATAAACTAGTTCAGGTTTTTTTGTTGTGTTTTGGTGGTTGTTTTTTGGTTTTGGTTTGTTGGTTTTTTGTTTTTTTTTTTTCAAAGAACGAAAATGTCAAAGTGGGCGGCAGTCGCTGTCTCATTTTCCTGCCTTTTTGTAAAGGTTAATCATTTTTTTGAGAAATGTTGTGACTTAATCCTTAGGACCATAAAGCTAGTTTATTTCCAGAAACATTTGTTGGTTGGAAGTAAAATGTTATCTTTTCCAGTACAGAGTACAATATTTCACTTGAACTGATGTTTCTACTATGTAGTACATCCTTAGTCCCATTCTGCCTGAATGTTGTTTGAATTTCTCTGGCTGAAGTAATTTTGACTAGCGTTTAAATGGGGTTGAGAGGATTTGTATGGTTAGTACAGTATACAAAATGACTCTGCACATTGTCATTCTTTGTTACTGAGACAACTGAGAGTTGAGCTATGTACAGTTAGTGTTGTCTGTATAAGCAAGACAGACATCTGTATGTATGTATCTGTATGTATGTATCTGGCACGTATGTATTCAACACTGTCTGGTACAGCCACATCAAAGTATTGCCATTAAAAGTCTGGTAGGTTTATAAATGGCAAAATTCAAATGTTGAAGTCGCAGATTAATTTCAAATCTGTGTTAACCCTTTGAAAGCGCTGACTGGTGCAGTACTGCATATATGGGACACATCAATCAGTAATGCTAGCTGGGAGGATTTGGATAATTAGCTAGTCATCTTAAGAGGGCAATTTTTGAATCCTTCATTAATTTTTGAGAGGCTAGAAGCTGACAGAGGTTTAGAGGGGTTGGTTGGTTGTTTCAGTTTTTTGTTCTGTCACCTAAACTTCTGTAAGTTTCTTAATTTATTTAACTATTTATTAGATCAAAAATTTGCAATAAAGAATTGACAAAATTTTTTGAAAATTTTTAGCCTTATAAATTTAATTTTAAAGTAAATTTTGTAGTTTATTTTGGTAAAAACTATCTGTTGTTTGGTTGGGGTTTTCTTAAAGTTCCCTTTGTTAGAAGAGAAATCATTATTATCTAATATTCTGAAAATACAGAAATCATAAAATCGTAACCAAGAAAATTTCCTTACATTCTACGTGGTTATTATTTCCATTTTTTTCTTAGTGTGCCAAATACAAAGTTACATAAAATGGCCAAACTTTACACTCTGCTTTAGCACACGCCATCTTGGCACATACTTAGTAATTACATTTAATTTCTACATAAATCTTAAGTGCTTTTCTGTGGAGATTCTTTAATTCAACTTTTTATCATCAGTTTAGTCAATTAGCAAGTGGGGAACAAAAATAATGTATCCCATAACATTCATCCTAGCTTATTGATTAAGCTTCTGAATAAAATTGTTTCCACAGTCCTGATACTTAGATAAGGCAGAGAGATTGCTAGGATAGAGGCTCAAAATGGCTTTAATACAAAAATTGAAAACTGTAGTTACAGGGAAGTTCACAGCAGAAAGACAACAATGAGAGAATTGTATATTTTTATGAGCATTTACCCCTCTTGGGAGTCCGGAAAATGCATATACACAGTGGAAGTTGTTGAGGACTTCTACTCTGCCTCACCCCCCGCATCCTGGGCTCAAAATAACATTCAGATGAATTGTTCGTTCTTTCTTGTAATCTTTCCACCAGCTGAAAAACAAGGTTACCCACTGCTATCTTAATTGTGTATTGAACTTGAAACAGGTTGAAGAGGACTCACATGAAACAAAAGCTTGTACTGAATGTGCAGATGATCTTTTGTATTGAATGACTGCAGAAGTGGAAGGTGGAATTACTTAATTCTAAAACACTTTGTTAAGGACAACTGAAGCAATTGGGTCACAGATTCTTTGAATTGGTGCATGTTTGCAGGGACTTCCCACCAGAACTTGTACTTTATTTTTCCCACTAGCTCAAACCTAAATAGGAACGGTTTAAGGATAATTATTCTCCCTAATCATAAGCAATTGAGTGAAGAATGTCTTGAAACCCATTCCGGGTTTACATTTCTGTGGCCCTGTGTAAGGGGAAAAAGTGAGATTTCTGTACGTTTTTTAGTGTGTTCTTCTTTTTCAAGTCTTGAGTGTCAACAGGCTGTCAGGTAGAAGGGAAAGAAGAAGAAAAGAGCCTCGATCTTTTCCTGGGACCAAATTCTCAGTGCCTCATGAAAAAAGGAGGCTCATCAGAGAGAAAAGCAGGAAAGTGGTGGTGTCTCTTGTTTTGGAGCACCGACTTCACCATCCCAACTTTCCTGAATCTGGCAGCAACTTTGACCTCAATAATACCTCTGTTTTCCCTTGCACTTATGATCTCATTCCTGAAGGCTTATCTGTCTGTCTATTCCTGACTCAAATATTGCAGTTCCCTTTTCTCTTCACTTAACAATACAGGCATGCCAGAGGAGAACACAGTTTAGAGACATCCCTGCAGTGAATAAGCTTCATCCCCTATTCTGCAGCTTGCAGCATTAAATCTTTAGAAAGGAATGATAAGGAGTTGATATTCTTCTCTGCTTTCTTTCTTCTGAATTCCTGGTTTGATCTAGAGCCCTGCCTTCTTCCTCACTTTTAAACCCCTTTTGCTTCTGGAAATTATCATTTTTATATATATATATATATGCTTTTTTCCCTAGTGGATGAGGAAAATGAGTACTAGTTTAAAAGCTTTACTTTGCTATTGCTTAAGCTCTTACTTATAAGCATAAATACATTTAAGTAGAAGTCACATTCTATTTTCAGCATATTTTATTTGTATTTAGCATCCATTACCATCCAAAGATACTGACTTTCTACTTTAACATTTTAGGATACGCATTGTGTTCCAGAATTGTTTTAGAAGCTATAATTACAGGGGGGTACCTATGTTTAATAAAAAGTCTTGTATAAAATTTAAAGTTGTTCAGATACTATGAACAAACTGTGCATATCCCTTTAGCTTTCAGTGGGGCTAAGTTGTGTGAATTACTAAAAATTGCATAGAGCTGTTAAAGAGAAAAACTCTGCAGATGTTGGTGAGCTGCAGTTTATGCATCTGTTGTACAGATATGCCTTGAAGTAGAGCAGGGGAGTTCACATGTACAGTTTCAGAAGGCAGAGACTCCTAAATAATTCTGTGTATTTTTCAAATGTAGAGCAGATAGTGAGAAAGTGTAACATTACAATTGGTAGATCTTAAGTATTATATGAAAATGTTCATGTTTCAGGATGGAAATTATTATGGGCTTATTTTGAAGCATTGACAAAATTCAGTTGTTTACTTGGTGGAAGACCAAAGCCTCCTGACATGCAGAAAAAAAATCATGCCATTAGACAATTACGGAGTGATCTGCCAGCTTTGGCATTACTTGGACTTTTGGCAAAAATGTCTGTTGCTGAGCACAATCAAAAAAAAAAAAATTATACTGGGTAGGATGGACAGATAATTTGGAAGTTCCTGGGTTTTTATATATGTAATTATGAACTGAAATGTGTAAGTAATTGCTACTCTTTACCAAAAATTAAAGAAGACGTGAAGTAAATTTTTTGGGTATGTGATTTAATTCTTGTAATTAATGACTATTATGCTCTTTCTCTTTTTTTTTGTTTTTCTGTTTTTTAGGTTAGTATGGAATCCTTGAAAGAGCTGGATCAAAGACTGTTTGAAACGTACATTGAATTCAAGGCAGATCCGATAGTTGGGTCATTAGAACCTGGCATTTATGCAGGATATTTTGATTGGAAAGATTGTCTTGTTCCAGCAGGTAAATATCTGCTTATTAAACTCTGAAATTATTTTAACAGTGATTAATAGGAGCTAAAATATACTGTACAAATAAAAACTTTTTTCTAGTCTGTTTTTAACTTTTGACAAGTTCTTATAATAAGTTCTTTCTCACAGACTTTACTTAATTCTTAAATCATTTTTCAAATACCCCCAAATGATTAAAGCAGCTTTGATAATCTCTTTAATACTTGTTTTTTGTGATTATTTTGCTTCATTGCTTATATATAATAGAAAGAATTATAAAAGACATCTTTGAATTTCATAAGAAAATAGCATTGAGATTGTTTGTGATTTTTTCCAAAGAATCTGGCTACTTTTGTAATAGATGTAATTACAGTTCTGAAAAGGTAAAATTGAGAAAATGCATACTATAACAGTAGTTCAGCAAAATGTTAAACCATTGAAGAAGGGCAGGTATAAGGTATTTAGAATGACTGAGCTGTTAGTCATTATTTAGGTGCTTTAAGAGCCTCTGTTTTAAGGAAGCATAATATAAATGAGTCTGGGTTTTTGTTTGGGGTTGTGGTTTTTTTTCTTTAAGTAGTGAATGCTGTGCACATCTTAACATTTAGGTCCTTTGAACATCTAATTTGTCATATCTAAAACTAATGCATCTAAATCGCTTATCACATGAATGCCTGGTTAATACCAAGCAGAAATTAGTTGCAGTAACATAGTACATGGCATTTTGAAGGTGATCTTGTCTTGAATTTCAGTAAATCAATGATTGACATGACAATTTGTACTTTCTTGTTTTGATTGTTTCATAGAGATGTATATGGCAAGCTTAGTAGAAGTTTTGTGGTTCTTTAAAATTTGATAGGGAGGTGGTTACAAGAAGCACGCTGTAATCTGTGAATCGAGCTGCAGTGCTTGCTTGCTGGGCCTTAAAAACACAAAAATTTTAGGGGTTTTTTAGAGAAAAGTGTCTCTTCTATCTTTTGTTACTACTTTTGTGCTCAGAATATATGCTGTAATACAGTTTATAGCGGAAATAACTTAGATTTTAATCTTGCACATTCAAATTTATAACTGAATAATACATAACTCCTCATCACGTTTGAAGTATGTTGTTGCTTGGCATGCTTGCATTCCCACCAGCTAACAAAGACAAAGAGAAAGAAGTTGTGTCAGCTTTCTATATGCTCATTTCTTGATCTAGTGCATTGGGATCTACTGACTGGACTCACGTTGCCTTTAGGATTATTCTGTAGTATTTTTTCATTTAAAGGGAATATTGAATTTCTGTTAGAGGTGTGCCTTAGTCTGCTTGTTGTCCAATTTATTCTTGGTTTTACGTACATTCTGTGCAACTTTTTGGCAAAAATCAAAGTGAAAATGGAGAATATTAGAGACTCCTCTTCAGGATTACATATCATAGTGTTGGCCAAGAGGTGCCAATTTGAAGTAGTAAAAAATTTGTTTGTTTTTTTTGTTACTCTCCAAGCTAGACATGTTAAGAAGGAACATATAGTCACTTCTTTCATGCTTCTCCACCTTGATGAACTATCTTTCTGATGAATAAATTCTGTCAAATGTACCTTGTTGACTATTGGTATAAGAGAGTAACTTTGAGTACCTTCAGTTTGTCTGCTTATAGCAATGGTTAGTTGATCCTGAAAGTATTTGGTGCTCTGAAGATAAAATTAGTAAGTGACTGGGAAAGCCTCCCTCTTGGAGGAGGTAGATGAACTTCATTCTTGAAAAGGACTGGGGAAAAAAAACCAAACAACTCTTCATGGGGCATATGAGAATATGACTTTTTCCAGCATTCAATCAACATTCACAAAAAAAAAAAAAAAAAAATCACCCAGCAAGCATATAATTGATTTTTTCCAATAACCTAGTATTTACAAACAACATTAAATTGTACAACAAGATTATAGTTGAGAAAATATACTCTTATGTAATCTAAAAATGCAGTTAGTAGTGCAGTAGGCATACTGTCTTTTCATTTTCCTCTTAGAAGAACCCCGAACAAACAAAGCTCTACTTCACAGTTCATCTCCAAGTACAGCATGAAAAGTATCTACTTTATTAAACTAAAATAACATACAGATGACTGGGAGTGGGTCACACTGAGTCAAACACACAGTTCACTCAAGGATTTATTAAAGATCGACACATTGATTTGTTGAGGAAAAAAAATATTTGTATAGTGGAAATTATTATCTGTTCTTCAGTAATCTTATGACTGCAAAATTTAAAGATTTTATTTGAGTCATTTGCCTGGTTTAGATATTGACTTTTGTAGCCTTAATTTTAAAAAAGAAAGTTAGTTCATGGCATTGGCGAGGGAAAACATTTAGGCCTCAGTTGTGTTCCTGAGTGGTACTATCAGTGATGTGTAGTGTTGCATAATTAAAGTTACTCGATGTTCCTTAGTGGATACAACTATGCCTGATCGCCATGATGTAATAGTTTGGCCTGAAGTTGTTTTATATGGTGTTTCTGCATTAGCTTTCAAATAGTACTAGTGATAGTAAAAAGGCAAACCTTGACAAGAACAGTTCTTTTTTGGAAAGGAAAGAAGAGGGCAAAGACATCAATTTGCCCATGTTTAAAAGATAAGGTAAAAGGCGAATAATCTCCCTGATGCAGTCTGAAACTTTCAAGCATTCCATCTGGCGATTAAAAATTTGGCCAGAGTGGGGGCATGTTGATGCCGCAGATATATCTTTTGCAAAGGACATTTTGGAAAAATGTGAGTATTAAAATACTCAGGAATTGGTTAGGAATAACACTGAGAATTTTCTAATGATGAATTTCCCGTGTTGCTAGTCCAGCCCAGAGCTTCAAGACTGCAACTCTTTTGAAAAATTGTACTGGTCAAGCACTAGCAAGTATTCCTTTTGTGATGTTCCCCCTACTGTTACTGAGCAGAATGAAGAAGCTGGAAGGCTGAATAGAATGCAGAGAGCACCTGATCTGGACTATTGGGAAGATAATGCTTTTGGGTAGATGGAATTGTTCGTGGGGAGGATACCAATGCTGGTAGAAAACAAAGCAACTGCAAGGGAGGGAGCAGACTGGAACAGAAAGCTTGTGGTGAAGACTGGTATCAAGCAGGAACGAAGGTGGAACAAAGGGGGAAGTCAGGACTGGATGAGCAAGGTAGAAATGTAAATTAGGGTAGGATTTAGAAATGAAATTAACACAGAAGTGAATAGAAAGGGATTATACAAACAAGAGACAGACTTGAAGCACAAATAAAAGAGCAGAGAGGTCTGATACTCGTTAGATCAGTGAGTTTACCAGAAGCTGCAGTGTAATCGAAGAAATCCCCTCGATCTTGCACTTTTGTCCTCTAGGGATGACAGCCTATTAATGTTACTGATCACTTTCTTTGCACAGCTGGCAGAAGTTATGTATATATTATTATATACTTATAGTAACACTACAGGCAATGCTACATGTTCTGTATAGGCAGTACCACTGAGAAACACAACAATGGCCTAAAAGTTTTGCCTTGCCAATGCCATCAATGTTGTTTCTTTTTTAGAATCAAGGCTACAAAAGTCAAGGTCTACAGCATCAGCCAAATGACTCAAATCCATATAAATCTACTGTACATAAGTTACATGTATGTGTTGCCAATTCTGTTGTTAAGCCATATAGACCAATGCAGTACGAGAATTTTCTGGTTTCCATTCTGGTTTTTTGTTTGCGTTCTTTTCAATGTCAGTAAAAATTATGTACGGAAAAAACTACACAAAGACAATCAAGTATAATCCAACTTTAAATAATAACATTTTTTCCCACATGGGTACACTTGACGTGCTTCATGAAATGGAGGCTGTTTTGGAGATAAAACTGGGGTTTGTATTAAGTGGAGCTGTTAGAGGCAAAAATGTATCCTCAGTTGTAACAGATTCTGAGAAGTGTGTGAAGCATAATCTGGGAGGGGAAAAAAAAGTGGAGGCGGGATTCTGTCCCGGCCTCCGTGGGGTTTTCTGTGTCATGTTAATAACTCACTTAAGCATCTTTATCTTTAAAATGCCTTCTTTGACTCCTGTCAATTTGAACATTCATGTTTAATTTTACTACCTAAAGTCTTGTAGTATATAGAATATTCAGAAAAATGTTATCCAAAAACCTTGACAATCTATTTGTCATTGGTGACTTTGCAGCCATCTGTCTGTAAGTACTGGGGACAATACTTCCTTGCATCATATAATTCATGGGGAAATAGAAGGGAAAATAGAAGAATGAGAAGAACGGTAATAAATGAACAGTTCTGAAGAAGAAATCAGAATGAAATTAAGAAGCCTGCCTTTTGAGCAAGCTTTGAAAAATATGTAATACTGAAGTTCTGTACCATGTTTCTTTCTGTCAGTGTGGAAAAAGCATATGCCTTGCTCACTTAGGCAATCGTCCTGTAATTATCAGATACTTATACATATGGTTTTTGTTACAGTTTTAAATATAAGGAAGGTCAAATTGTTTGCATGGGGAAAAATTTAATTTAGCCTATGTGCTAAAACTTTTATTGTTTAGTTTTTCAACATACATGCTCTTTTCAATATCAAAGTTCTGAATGTCAGAAAGAACTTGTGCACAACATAATTATACATTTGCCCCTTTATTTTGATCTCAGGTGTGACTGCTGGTGTTAGAAGGCAGTACGGTTAACTTAATTAGATTTATTGTTAATAAATAACTTTCATTTAAATTTTCATTTTAATGTCAATGTCGACTTCTGAGTCTTTACAACAAAGACTTCATTTTTAACATGCAGCAACAATGAAATCTAGTTGGTTCTTTTCTTGTTTGAAACATTGTTCTAATTTAATCCATGGTATTAACAGAATTAAAAGAGATGAAAGGGATAATGGGAAACATAACGTTAATCAGTTGCTGAGTATGTTTTTAGATGATTTTTTTTGTGTATACTAGTCAATCAGCTAGTTCAGCATACAAGGTTTTTTCATTTGTGCTCATTCTTCTCTCTTGGTAGTAGGTTGTGTTTTGCTGGTT